GCAGCGGGCGAGGCTCCCGGAGGGGCACCGCGGCCCCGAGAGGCACCGGGTCCAGCCCCGGAGCGAGCCAGGGCACCTGCAGCCTCCGGGTGCGGGGCAGCTGGGCACCGGGAGCCCCAGCTCTGCTGGAAACTCCCCGTTTAGTTAGAAGCAGTTAAATTAGAACTACTAGAATTAAATTCTCACTCCCCATCTAGTTAAAATTCCCATTCCCGGTATTCTCGTTGAGCCGAGAGACAGGAGGAAGGGAGAGTTTGGGAGCGCGTTTCCGAGCAGGTGGAGCAGTGTGTGGCGGTGGGCGGCCAAGGGCGCTGGTGGAGGGCAGGGAGTCAGCGGGGCCGCAGGCCTCCCCAGGCGGGGACCCGCCGCCGAGATGCTTCAGTGAATTAGGGAGCTTTACAGCTTTCATCGTTCCCCCTCAGAGACGTTAATCAGCCCTCACGGCTTGCAGGGAAGCTGGGGCTGAGTCCAGAATGAAATGGTCCCGGTGACAAGGTCAGGCGGGGAGCGCTCTGCTATCAAAGAGGAACAGAGGCTGAAGCTGTGCTGCTGGCAGGATGAGATACAGAACCAGTCCTTCACTGTTGGAGGCTCCTGGAGAGCTCAGAGCATCATCCACAAGATAAACAGGAGAATCATCCCACCCAGGAAACTCCTGGGGGTCTTGAGAGTCACCCTTCTGGCCCCAGCATCCAGGGGAGATTTTTGTTAGAAAAAGACATCATTGCTAAGAGTTCACATCCCACCCACGTGCACTCTTATTTACTTTTTTTTTTTTTACAGAGAATTCTTTCCTACTCTTTCTCCCTTGCACAGTGGGAATGGATGGCGAGAGGCTGTTTCGCTGCTCGTGCTCTCGCCTGGCTCATTCATGCCTTTGCTTTCCCAGCAGCATCTCTCCAGAAAGGCACCGCTCCCACGGCCGTCGCAGGGCCGTACCCTCAGCAGGCGACTGGCGCCTGCCCCAGCACACCCCAGGAGCGGAGCTCGGCGTCATCCTGCTCAGAAACATGACTGGAGCACACACACACGGCACTTGGGAGCTTCGAATCAGGGTTCAAACTAAATAAACCTTGCAAAGGACTTCATGCTGAATGGAAAGATATAACTGAAACAAGAGATCTCTTTCAAATTTGGAGAGTTACTTCTAACCACAGTCATTTTGTTGATCCAGCTTCCAGGGCAACCCTAGGAGCACCGGTGTCGTAACCAGAGCACGGGGTTGAAATCAGGGTGAAGTGTCGGCTTCGGCCAGCCTCTCGGCTCTGCCGCTCGCAGCAGCCCATGCCTTCCTGCTTCCCCTGCGCTCCGGGGCTTGTCGGCGCCTGCCCTGGCCTGACTGCACTCGCTGTCCCATGAGAAAACCCAGCCCAGCAAAAACAGCGGGGCAGCTTGCTGCTAGGGTGCATTGAACCCAAGAGTCAGAGGAGAGGGGGACGAGAGGGGGCTGCGGGCACAGAGGCAGGACCTGGAGGGGAGCAGGGCCATGGGACATCCTCCGTCATCCCTTTGGCTCAGCCACGGGGAGCACTTTCACCCCAGGCAGCAATTCCTCAGCCCGCACCCTGCCAGAGTGCCGCCCCGGCTCTCTGCCCTCTGCGAAGGTAAATCGCACAACAAGCGCGGTTTATAGAGCGCTGCCTCCCTGCCTTGCTCCCTCCCCTAGCACTGTCCCCACTGCCGCCCTATCTTCTCAAGTATATTCTTTTATTACCTCCAGGCACAAAAAAGCCTCTTTTATTGCCTGCAGGCATGCAGAGGTTGCAGCCTGTTCCCTGCAGCCTTTCTCTAGCTCAGGAGGCTTTTATACTACCAAGGGCTTGCGGCGTGGCCAGGGGCAGGAGGCCGGCAGAGACCCATCGCGGCCGGCATGTGACATGACGGCGGCTGCAGGGCCAGCCTGCTGCCTGCCCGCTCCTGTTGCAGGTGCTGATGGAGGTGGGGGCCAGACAGCTCCCGGAGCATCCCCTCCGCCTTGGGCACAGGGAAGCGTTTGACTGGCACCTGCAGCAGCAGTCACAAAGCAGCAGTCAAGCCCTCACCACATTATTTTGAAAATCCATCTTGCACACCTGCTATTTACCCTGCTTTTGGCTTTTCTGGTTTTCCCCAGTGTTCAGATTCCTCCTTCCGGGCTTTCACACTCCCAGTCTCTGCTTGAACCTTTTCCCTTCACCAGCAAGACCAAGAAGAAACCACCTGCCCTGCACTTAGCCCTCCCAGCCCCATGCACGCTCGGGGTGCTCAGGGTCTCCTTGGGGGTATCAGTGGGTGAGAGATTCATTTTCACAGGCTGCCTCTGCAGTAGGGGCTGAGGGGATGCCGCGGGAGGGCTACGAAC